TTCCCTGGACTGGAGAGCCTTCGGAAGTCTCCGCGGTTGACTTCTGGTTCTGTGAGAGCGAGAGGGTATGGGACTCAGCACATGTCCATCTCCAGTGGGCAGTACGGAGACATAAGGACTTTGCTGATGCCCATCACGCACCCACACCTGTTTACCAACCAGGAGACACCCGTGGGGGAGGGGGTACTGTCACAGATTCACCAGCCACATCAGCCACACCAGCCACCTACACCCGTTCACAATCACCTGATTACTAATTACGAACGCCTGATGCCACTTACCTTAGCACTATATCTGTTCACTCACCTCAGTCTCTCATTGACTGGTCTCAAGGTTGCCGTCTTGCTGTATCTACCTAAAGACGATTAAGATAAGGACTGTTACTCTTCAGTTTCAAGAGCTAATGTTATGTTTCAGTTTTAAAACTTACCGTTTGAAGCTCTCCTTCAGTTTGTGTAAATAAAGAAGCTCTGAATCGTTCTTCCCGAGTATGCCTCTCTATCCAGCCGTGACACCTATACTAAAGTGTAAAATTTTTTCCATAATACAATTTTTTTTTCATAATCTAAAATATACTACAACTCATAGTCCAATGTGACGTATGTATAATAAAATTAGCATCAAGCACGCAAAACATGTGCAAACTGTATACATTCAGATTTGTACTGAATACGAGCCCAAAATTATTTGTATAGAGAATGGTAGTTTTAGTTTTGCTTTAAATAAATTTGTTTAGGCTTGACGTTTATAATAAATGTTATTTAAAATGAATAATTAATTTGCTTTATACTTTCATTGTTCATTCCGGTTCAGTTCTGAATACTGTTAAATTTAAAGGATTTGTTGTGGAGTGAGGGAAACTAAATTACTGTTCATGTCTATAATGTTTATATCGATTATAAATGTCATGTTTTATTTACCGTATTTTACATTATTTCTGAAAGTAATAATGAAATAAAATGACTTATACGACAATGCGAGTTATCTCTCAACAATGCAATCTGGCATACTTTACTTGAGACTTTAAGTGAGAAGGTGCAATACAAATAGCAGACTTCTGTGAAAATTCCATAATAAGCCTAATTTACATGCATTCACTGAAAAGAATGATAGTAACTTAATTTAAATGCACATGGCACCTCACTGTACTGGATAGCACCTAGTTAAACTGACTGATATTGTTGGATGTGAATAATGATTGAATACTAAAGTGGAACAACTGTTCACTGCTTCATCACTGTTTCATAAACAGGAACAACATTCATCATATTGTGTTCTCATTATTAAAATGATCATTCAAGGTCTCCATGACAGTCCAGATCAATGAAATGTGAACATTCATACCAACAAACCGTCAGATACGAAAATACATGTTGAAGTGAAACTGAATTTGTTAACGAATGGGAGGAAAATACATAAAATCAAAAACATCCAACTTTACCCCCAGGTTCCAGCTGTTGAAGCGAGCCTCAAAGTCACTATCATCAGAGGAGATGGGCAGCCTCCTGTGTGCCTCCGCCTGGAAGAGAAACAGACAGTGAGCAACAAAGAAATGATAAACCATGTCCAGGGATGGAGAGCGCTCTGGGAATTCTGAGTTATCCACCAATGTGTTGAACTAAAGAGACTGTAAAATCTGCTAGACATGGGCAGAGATTAAGAAACCTCAATCTACAAATGCTTAACTTTATTATAATAACATTATAATGTAACATTCTACAATAAGTAACATTTATAGGACTTTTGGAACAACTTTGACACCTCTTTTTATCATCTGGCTGCACAGCAAAGAACAGATTTTGACCGTAAACATCAAATCACAAGATACTGAAATATCGAACATTTGTCGTGAGCTATGAAAGATACTGTATAAATCACCATAGAGACTTATAAAATTGTTCTAAAAACTAAAGATTTCTTTTTTTTTTGACATTATGTATATTTTGACAAATTATAATATATAATATATTTTTATATATATTTTTAGAAATGTAATTAATTTTTTTTAGATTTTTCATACAATATTTCTTCAATGTTTTAATTGTAATATTAAATCCACTTTAAATGAATGTTTTATGCCTTAAAAATTTAAATACACAACACAGAATTTCTGAGGGGAAAAAATCACAAGGCTATTGTTAGAATAAATTAAACTTGTTTTTATGCTTTCAAATAATTAGACATGCTAAAACACAGAATTTGGTAACAATAAAACATAAGGTTGAAAAAAAAATATATATTTTTGGGCCCTAAACATGTAATTTAGGGGGAACACTGTGCAGGTTTGCATTGCACAACATCAGAAAGATCAGGCCCTTTCTAACGGAGCATGCTGCACAACTTCTTGTCCAGGAACAATCAAACCTCTAAAAATGATTCAGAATGCAGCGGCACGACTGGTATTCCCACCCCTATCCGGAATGCTGAATCCCTGACAATTTTCAAGCGAGAGCTGAAAACTCATGTCTTTCAACGCTACTTGACTTCATCTTAAATAAAAAAAAAATAAAAATAATATCGAACATTTGTCGTGAGCTATGAAAGATACTGTATAAATCACCATAGAGACTTATAAAATTGTTCTAAAAACTAAAGATTTCTTTTTTTTTTGACATTATGTATATTTTGACAAATTATAATATATAATATATTTTTATATATATTTTTAGAAATGTAATTAATTTTTTTTAGATTTTTAATATATAAAAGAGAGAGAGAGAGAGAGAGAGAGAGATTGATCAAGTAACAGAGATGGCTGTAGATATGGACATACTCCCCTCATGGCACACCAGATGTTTGACTTTTCCACATTATTTCTGCTTTCTCCTTCACATGCAGTAAATTCCTGCAGAGCGTCACATGACATACCGCCCCTCTTTGTTTTCAGGCGCTGGTCTTTTGTCAGGAGAATCCAGCTCTTTAAGAGCTCTATATAATTTGAATGTTTCCAGGGAACTGTTGTTTCAAGTTCACTTTTGCCTCATCAGGAAAGAGTAGCAAGGAAATATCCAATAAAGCTCAATTCTAATGAAGTACATGGATACTGTTGACACTTAATAGGACTGTGGGAAGGGGATAGTTCACAAAGAGCAAATAACTCACATTAAAGGAAGGTGTCTGAACCCATATCAGATAAAAACTGGGACACATGGGAACATTCCTGGTTACAACCCAAAGCTATAAGAACTTGTGCAGACGTTGTGTTAAGGTTTCAATGTTTTATTAAAGAAACTGGATAAGTTGATTTCATGACAGTTTTAAGTTCTTACTTAAAATGAGCTTCTTGTCTTCCCTGCCACTCCAACTCTACAGCATGATTTCATTATCCAGCTAGGTTCTTCTACAATTACCCCAACAACTTCGGTCAGAAATCTTGGTGTAATCTTTGATGACCAGCTGACCTTCAAAGACCACATTGCAAAGACTGCTCGATCTTGCAGCAGTGTTTCCCCTGCCATTTCTAGCTTGTACTTATTTGAACAATGTCTAAAACTTGGTATTACAAGCACTTCCTGTGTCTGTTTGCCTCTTTAAGAAGAATCACTTTATGTATTCCCCAATTGTAAGTCGCTTTGGATAAAAGCATCTGCAAAATGACTAAATGTAAATGTCTTACCATCTTGACATCATCCTTGATATCGCGTTTGATGGGACATGAGGACAGGGGTCTGGTTGGTGACTTATCATTGAACAAATTCCTCTTCCTGTGGAAGAGAAAAAACTTTTAGCTCCCTTACACTAGATCAGGGGTGTCAAACTCCTTTTCACTGAGGGCCACTTCAACATTATGGCTGCCATCAAAGGGCCGGTTGTAACTGTAAGACTGTACAAATGTTACTAACATATTGTTACATAACTGTCTCTTTATGTTATTATTACTTTTCTTACTTAAAATGAGCTTCTTGTCTTCCCTGCCACTCCAACTCTACAGCATGATTTCATTATCCAGCTAGGTTCTTCTACAATTACCCCAACAACTTCGGTCAGAAATCTTGGTGTAATCTTTGATGACCAGCTGACCTTCAAAGACCACATTGCAAAGACTGCTCGATCTTGCAGCAGTGTTTCCCCTGCCATTATATTATGGGGGCGGCCCGCCCCCCCTTGAAGGTCAAGTTAATTTGATTTAATTTTATATTCTCTATAGCGCCAGATCACAACAGAAGTAATTTAAAATTACCTTTCCTATAGAACATGTCTATACCTTGTTCTTTTATCAAACAAACTAAATAGCCTTATGTTATTTATCTTATTTACACGACGGCATGTCATTTCTGTCTCTACG